AAATAGTTGTCGACCTTTTTGTTTCCTTTGGAATATTTTTTTCTTGCCTTTTTTCATTGTTTTTTTTCATTCTTTTCAGGCATCATCCTTTTAGAAATCACCCTTTTCAGGATTTATCCTTTTCAGGAATTATCCTTTTCAGGACTTATCCTTTCAGGATTTTTTTATTCAGAATGAATCCTTTTCAGGAACTATCCTTAACAGGAATCTTTCTATTCAGATTGATTTCATTTTCAGGAACAATGCTTTTCAGGAGTTATCTTCTACAGGAAATGGTTCTTCTACAGGAATATGCGCGGCTGCGAGTGACACAAAGAATCTTGAAGTACATCTGTGGAGAAATCATTCAGAGGCAAAAGGAAAAAACATATAAAGGATGCTTCTTGGAAAGAACAATTGCTCTTTTGATGTGTCTTCTTCAATTGTATACGACTGCCCAGAATGAGATCTTTCACAACATGAGGCTTCGGTTACTACTTCCAAACTACATAATTCAGGGATGAAGATGGATACCTAATTTGGAAAACATTCTATTATATTTTTTTTGTTGGTAAAAGATTTAAAGCTAGCTGGCTTGCTTTTTGTTTTGAAAATGTATTTTCTATAATTGCTATTTATGTTTTATTGTTCATATTGTTCTACAATTTACTTTCTTTTGATTTCGCATACTTTGTTCATACGGTTTTTTTGCTGAGATTTTGGTGGTTGATTAATCGCAGGGAATTATTAATCCTAACTTGACATTATTATAAATACTTACTTATCCTTTTTTTTCTCTATAAATATTTCCTGAATTTTCTGAATTTTCTGAATTTTCTGAATTTTCTGAATTTTCTGAATTTTCTGAATTTTCTGAAATTTCTCTGAATTTTCTGAAATTTCTGAATTTTCTGAAATTTCTGAATTTTCTGAATTTTCTGAATTTTCTGAATTTTCTGAATTTTCTGAATTTTCTGAATTTCCTGAATTTTCTGAATTTTCTGAATTTTCTGAATTTCCTGAATTTTCTGAATTTTCTGAATTTTCTGAAATTTCTGAATTTTCTGAAATTTCTGAATTTTCTGAATTTTCTGAATTGTTTTCCTTTTAATTTAAATTGTAAATTCTGAATTTTCTGAATTTTCTGAATTTCCTGAATTTTCTGAAATTTCTGGATTTTCTGAATTTTCTGAATTTTCTGAATTTTCTGAATTTTCTGAATTTTCTGAATTTTCTGAATTTCCTGAATTTTCTGAATTTTCTGAATTTTCTGAATTTCCTGAATTTTCTGAATTTTCTGAAATTTCTGAATTTTCTGAAATTTCTGAATTTCCTGAATTTTCTGAATTTTCTGAATTTTCTGAATTTTCTAAATTTTCCTTTCCAGGAAGTATCCTGCAGAGAACTATTCCCTACACAATTTTTCCTTTCCAGGAAGTATCCTGCAGAGAACTATTCCCTACAAAAGTTTTCCTTTCCAGGAAGTATCCTGCAGAGAACTATTCCCCACAATTTTTTTCCTTTCCAGGAAGTATCCTGCAGAGAACTATTCCCTACATTTTTTTTCCTTTCCAGGAAGTATCCTGCAGAGAACTATTCCCTACAATTTTTTTCCTTTCCAGGAAGTATCCTGCAGAGAACTATTCCCTACAAATGTTTGCCTTTCCAGGAAGTATCCTGCAGAGAGCTATTCCCTACAATTTTTTTCCTTTCCAGGAAGTATCCTGCAGAGAACTATTCCCTACACAATTTTTCCTTTCCAGGAAGTATCCTGCAGAGAACTATTCCCTACAAATTTTTTCCTTTCCAGGAAGTATCCTGCAGAGAACTATTCCCTACAATTTTTTTTCCTTTCCAGGAAGTATCCTGCAGAGAACTATTCCCTACATTTTTTTTCCTTTCCAGGAAGTATCCTGCAGAGAACTATTCCCTACAATTTTTTTCCTTTCCAGGAAGTATCCTGCAGAGAACTATTCCCCACACAATTTTTCCTTTTCAGGAAGTATCCTGCAGAGAAATTGTCCCTACATTTTTTTTTCCTACCCTTTTTTTTTCCAAATAGGCGCCTTCAGAGAATTGTTCTTTAGCAGCATATTCCTGTTCAGGAAGGTTTCGTCAGAAAAGTAGTGTTCTGAGACAATATTGTTTCGTCGAAAATCAACATTCCTGCGAATCTATCAAACACACATAAAAATCAAATTTCACTTCTTATCACTTCTTTTCGCTTATTTTGGCTTATTTTTGACTAATATTCTACTATATTTGCTTATATTTTCCTTATGTTATAAGTTCACCTAAAAATTTAGTGGAACTTATAACAAAATATTTTTGAAAAAACAATTTGAACAAGATATTAGAAGGATAATAGTAACTTATAGTATACTTATAAATTCATTAAGTGCCTAAAGTGCAAATATTTGCATTTTGTGGTCTCAGTGGAACTTGCTTTCCGTAGCACAAAGAATTAAAATCATAGAATCACAATCACCATCTACCTACCCACTTAGTAAAAGAAAACGCCTGTGGGGTTCATTTTTTGGAATTTTTTTTTTCAAGGGTTTCCCATCCGGCGGTGCTATCCGCTGCAGTTTTAACACCAGGTTCCGGGCAAGGTCAGGGCCCAAAAGGTAAGGGCTGACCCAGCCTTCTGATCTCATTTTGATCTCGTTTTTTCCCTGGTTTGCTTCAGGGAAGGGATGGGAAGAAAAGAAAAGGGAATGGAAGGAAATGGAAAAGAAGGGAAGAAAGAAAGGAAAGGAAACAACACTGCAAAGAAATGGACTTAACAAGCAAACCTGGTTTGTGCTTTGGAACATTTTTTTCTATACATTGGGAAGAATCATCTCAACTGACTCATATTTTTCAGAGGGGTAGGTCAACCACCAACCAGAAACAATGAGGATTTACCATCTCCCATCTAGCATATGATCATTGATGGTGATTGACAGGTCATTGATAGATCTTGCTGGTGATCCTGGCCAGTTAGCTATCGAGAAATCATGTCAAATTACAGTACCACAGAAAAAAGGAGGTATATAGATGGCAAATGTAATCACCATAAGACATCCATAGGTTTTCCTAAGGAATGATCTAGAATGATCTAGATTTATGGTGGATTTTCCGTATCTATGCAGGTTTCCTGTGCGGTACATGCAACACTTCATGCTGCCAGCTGCTCAGTGTCGAATTTCCTTCCGTCCATCGCGTTGTGCGTCGCCTGCGATGACGCAGCAATTGGGGCGCAGTACAGAGGAACTGTCGCCCATTGCGGTGGAAAATGTGCAAAGTTATAGGCGGAATGGAGCCTTGGCAATGTTTTGGATGGCCGGAATGGACTGGAATGGATTGATCATCAAACATGGGGATTTAACTTTAAAGAAAATGTATCTAACTGTGACAAACCTAACAGTTTGGACCATTGCGATTAGAATCATCGGTTTTTTCCAGCTACAAACGGGTCATAGCTCTGTTCGACCAGAGGGTTTCCTGCTGAAGGTTATGCTTTTTTCCGGTAGCCCAACAGCAAAACTGGATTCTGACTGGATTCTGTGATAAGGCGCTAGGGCTTTCAGTCTACAATTTAGACCCCTGTTAGCCCCTATGATCAATTTCTAACGTAGTTAGACATTTCTTTATTTAAAATTTTTGAGATCGGAAATTCAGTTTTATTTCCGTTGCCATGGCTCAAGAAATTCAAACCAACCTGATTCTTCATTTGTATTCGTGCTTGTCATTTTTCTGTGCAATGCGCGACAATGGTGATGATGCGTTTGGGGCTCCGCTTGATTGAACTGACCGTCTTATTCATATTTCTTTACCTTCTTCTACAACTTTGACTTCATCTATTCCGACGGTACATACATCATCTCCGGTGCCTACTACTTTGTCATCTTCGACACCCCTGGATAACTTTCTTCAAGCTGTTCATCACGCTCTAAATTCTGGATTGTCGAAACAAACGCTGATCGCAAACATCCATTTGATTTCAGATGAGCGAGTTGAATCTACAGAGCCTCCTCTTAGCGACGACTTCTCACAATGAATCTCTGTAATCAATTGATTAGATTGATTAGTCGATTGACTTCAATTCCAGAGATCTTGATCTTTTGACATTTCTCCCTCTTCCCATTAGATCGATTGATCTGTCAGTTGACTTGTTGGGACATGAGGTTGACACATTGCTGCGTCTTAAAATGTCAATGCCATCAGTATTTTGATTTCTTTCTTTTCGTCCATTCAACATCCAACATTCTCAACTTGTGCATACATGGTATTGCTTCCTTTGTTCTTCTGTCACCGCTGCTGTTTCTCAAATTCTTCTTTCACTGCAGCCATTTGTCCTCGACGTTCTCATCTCAATGTATCATTTGACATCACTTTGATTCATCACTCAAATGAATTCCTCATTTTCATTTTGGACAGTCCGACATTCCCACATGGATGTTCCTTTTCTTTCCCATTCGAAATTCTATACAGCACATTTTCTTTCTTGCTCTGTCAGGTTCATGTCGATCACTGCGTTCGACTTCATCGACAAGCTCCTTCAGGACACCTCCTTGCAATTGCAATCTTTTTCATTCAATCAATTGATTGTCTTGACTGCCAAGTTTTGCCTTTTCTTGTTCAGTCATTCATGGTCAGTTGATCATTTATTTCACGATTGTGAATCATTGCATACTCAAACACAAGCCTCGAGGCTCAATTTCCATTTTTCGCTTTCTCCATATTTCCATATTCAGCCATTTTGCGCTGCTGTGTGCTGTGGATCATCCCAGCCAAATTTCAATTCTCAATTCTTCATTGTGGACGACTTCGCATCGCCTTTTTGCATTTTCTGTGAATTTCTGCAATTCAATCAATTCGAATTCTTTTTCAATTTCAATTCTGGCAGATTCATTTGGATCCGATTTGCCCTGCTCCAATTGGACATTCACTCATTGCCTACGTGGACGTGGTCCCATCTTGTCAGACAATTTTTGTTTTGCTGGCACTCCATTTGGAGACTGATCGGTCAATTGACCATGCAGGGCCCAGGTTTTGGATTGGACAATCATCCCAATCCACTACTTCCACCAGCGATCCCTCCGCCCCGGACTCCACCTTGCCCTCCGGGGCTTAGCCGATTAGGCAATTCGACAGTGGAACAGGTGACAGCAAAGGCTTGGCGTTGGTGTAACAAGACAACGGAGACCTTCTTCAAGCTCCTTTTGCTACCTGCCCATTGGGGCGATTTGCCGTGCTCAACCACGCCAGCTGTGACGATTCCACAGTGGTTGGAAACTGGGGGAAGCGCACGAGCTTCTTGCCAACATTTGTTCCGCAAAGTTAGCAGTATGGATTTTCAACTTCATTATTTATCCTGCCAGGTCGTCGACAACTTTCGATGGATACATTCACAGATGCAGAAGATCACCGATGGTTGCTATGAGGTGACGCACAGACTTGCGCAGGTTGAAATCCTTGTTTTCAACTTAGATGCTCTGCTGGAGGGTATTCAGGAACAGTTGCATTGGATGCCACAAAAAGGGGTGCTGCCGAAAAGCCAACCGAAAGCCAAGGCTCAGAGGCGGAGGCCATCTTCTGTCCTACCTCAACAACGCAACACCTTTAAACGTCGGGTCCAAAAATCCTTTCTGAAAAAGGTCCGAACTCATGAGAGCAGACTGCAATCAGTTGAATCATCCTCCGTCAACATTGAGAAGACGCTGCGCCGCAGCTGAGCAAAAAGGTGCAGGAGTTAGAGGACCAGTTGGAGAAGCAGAGCACCAGACTGGCAAGGCTGATGAAAGCAGCCCGCAACACCGCGCTGCCTCCGTGAAAACGGATTGCTCAGAGACGACCAGAGATTGTCGCAAAGCAGCGAATCCGAATTGGAATGAGTTAAAAAGAATGACATTGCTGTCCTCACATTGCATGGTCAATCTTTTCACATCAACTTTTGCCAGTTTTAGCTTGTCGTTTTCTTTACAGTTCTTTTACAGTCATTTTCTTTTACCACATTTCACGTTTTCCCCTGACAGGACTTTCTTCGACGTGCTCAACTTCAAGCTGATTGACTTCGACTCCTTCTTCGTTGCAAGGTCGTTCAATTTCTCTCCTCAAGGACTTTCATCTTTCATTTCTGAATTCAAGTTCATTCCATTCACACTTTGTGTCAGGACACAATTGTGGCGCTCAAGCCTTACGACCAATTGGTCTCAGCACAATTGTGCTTTCTCAATTTTCCCAATTATTTTCTTACATTTAGGCTCAAATTCATTGTCTTGATTATGAACGATTCATTTCGCATTGAATTGCAAACCGCCCGAGCCTCAATTGAACGCCATGGTGTCCAACCTCCATTTCAACTTCCATGGGTAAAGGGGATTTGGAAAAGAATTTTCAATCCTAACTCATCCCCTCTTTCTACAATTAGTCGTTCTCTCCCTCTTCCTTCTTCTTTCTCAACATCTTCTTCGTCATCTTCTCCTTTAGATTCTTTCCCAAACTTCAATTCAAATTCTTCCCAATTACTTGCTCTTGACACTTCATATGGTGAGAAGGGTGCAACTCATGACACCACGTCTTGTACTACTGCGGTGCCTTCAGCTGAATTTTGGTCGAAGTTCTTCAATCGCTCAGATCTTCAACAAGGACGTGTTGATGGTTTACGTCATCTTGCCATTTCAAGATTTATTTCAATGCTTGCTGCCTCCACGGGATCATCAATGTTTTTGAGCTCCTCGGACCCTTGGGATTTACATACAAGCTTTTCAGCTGCCGTCTCAATGAAAGCAACCAGCACGCTGATCAAAAGATCCCTTGATTTATTACGCTTCAAGACATGGTGCGATCTTCATGACAAACAATTTCTTCCTTTTTCTGAGTGTACTTTGTGGCAATTTCTACGTGAACTTCAAATGACAGCGAAACCGTCAGGGCCACAATCGATTTTACAGGCTATTAACTTTGCCATTCATGTCCTTGGATGTCACACAGCAGGGCCCACGTTAGCTTCAGTCAGAATCAAGGGTCTTTGCTCTGGTCACAAGGCGATGGCTTTGACAATCAAACATGCACCTCCTCTACAAGTGGATCAAATTACACATCTCGAGAACCTATGCTGTTCTTCTGAAGATGCTTACTCTAAACTTTTGTTTGGGTCCATCTTAATTGCTTTATACGCCAGATCCCGATGGAAAGATTTACAAGGAGCTCACTCAATTGAATGCGACCCCGATGACTTTGCGCCACAGTTCATTGAGCTGCCATCTCAGCACTTCAAGACAGCATCCATGCTTGCAAAGAAATTACACTTTTTGCCAATTACAGCGTTGGTATTTTCCATTTCTGGTCAACCTTGGATTCATCATTACATTCAAGCACGTCGTGATTTGGGGTTACAAATTTCTGGAAAGTTATCGTTACCCTTTCTGCCAACAAGAATTGATGCCAACCTTTCACATGAACCAGTGACATCATCTCAAATTACCAAACTCCTTCGTGAAATCTTTGCTAGTGAGTCTCTTCGATCTCACTCCTTGAAGCATACATGTTTGAGCTTTGCTGCCAAACGTGGGTTCGATCCTCACATCCGGAAGTTATTGGGGTATCATCTTGATCATCACGAAGTGACTTTGGCTACTTACAGCAGAGATCTTCTTGCCCTTTGCGTCAATTGAAATTTCTTCTCACTGAAATTCAGTCGGGTCAATTTATTCCTGATGCCACACGTTCTGGTTACTTACCTGAATTTTTACCTGTTCAAAATACAACATTGAAGTCCAATACATTTGAACCATTTCCGTTAGCTGATCCTGAAGATGATGCCGTGCCTCTGGACAGTTCTCATGTAGGCAACATGCCTACTGATGATACAACTTTGGAAACTATATCCAAGCCAATTGATGACGCTGCTTTGGAAGTTTCAGTTGCGCTCGACAATGCCTCTGATGACTATGATTCCTCTTCTACTTCATCTTCAGGTTCATCCTCATCTTCTATCTCTGACAACGAAGTTGACATCGTACCAGATTTCCCCCAAAATATTGGAGGCAATTGCTTTCCTCATGTGGAGAAATTTCTCCCAGTTAAACACAGACAGACGCATCGGCTACACCTATTGGTTGATGCCGAACATACGAGGCTCATTTGTGGCCGAGCATTGTCCCAAACGTATGAACGTTTGGATCGATTCCCTTCTCATCCATTACCAACTTGTGTTCAGTGCTTTGCCAGCAAACTTGTTGGATCATTCGATGAATGCTGAGAAAAAGTGTGTGCGCCTCGTGCTTGCATTTGCCTTTTCTTATGTTCTTATTTTCATCCTATCGAATTCTGAAACTCCTTAGGTTTCATCTCAAGTGATAGTTTTTGCAAATTCGCAGTGCTCATGGCGTTGTTGGACAGCAAGGCACAATACTTTGCCCGAGCCAAAGAAATCGGGCTGTCTACTCAATGTATGTCCTCGCTCCAAAGTCATGCGATTGAGACTTTGGGTGCCTTAGCCTTTTCAGTCGGCACCACACCAGGAGAATGCTCCCCACAAGACTTTCAGCAATTTGTGCTTGACAAACAGATTCAACTTGAGGGATCAGATGAATTTTTGCTGAAACGGTTGATAATTATTTGAAGCCCAGACGCTATTCATGACTTCAATTCAGAACCAAGTCCTGACAGCCGGCCTTCCAGCCGGTGCAGACTCCAATGCCAAGAAACTCCCTCCTGTTGAACGTCAAGCGCGCATTGTTGAACAGAAGCAACGCTTAGTTGGAGTGATCATACAAGGTGAGCCCGAGCCCTCCTTTGAATTGATCGACCTCGCATATTCCATGATTGAATCCAAGTCCATCAAGTTCATTCCTCCACATCGGTGCACCAAACGTGACACTGAATTGCTGGAGAACACGTCCAAGGACAAAGAAATTCTTACGATTGAACAAGGTCGATTGACTACCAAGAAGTCCTCCTTGCCTAATGCTTCGACTTCGGATGCTTTGAAGTTATCCAATTGCTTTGTTCGTCGTGCGCTGGCCTTGGATTTGGCCCAAGTCTCCACCTTTACGCAGATCAACAAGTACCATCAATTGCTTCTTGCTCAACTTTCAGTCAAGGCACCTGCTGGTTATTCTCCAGCTTCGCTTCAACAGATCGTGCAAGCCGACAAGTTCTTTTGGGCCAAACTTGCGGAGAAAGTTGGCATTGACGTGTCGCCGTCAACAGTGGATCCTTCCATGCAAGAGATCATGGTCAGCCCAGAGTTCTCGCTTCATCTTCTTCCACGTCCTGAAGTCTCTACACCTGCCCCTTCAAAGCCGAACACCAATATCTCAGCTGGGCATGGTAAAGGATCTGAACGTCCTCGACAAGATCGTGATGGGCCCTACAAAGGGAAGCCGAACAAAGGAAAGGGCAAAGGCAAAACCAAAACGCCGTCAGTGTCAATGCCTCTTCCTTTGCGTGGTCTAAATCCACGTACAAAAGACAATCGTTCGAAGTGCTTTGATTTCAATATGAGCCATGGTTGTTCCAACAAAGACGGGCAGTGTCAGAAAGGTGATCATTCATGCACGTCTTGGTCGTGTGGTGATGCCAAACATTCCTATCAGACTTGTCATGCCAAGAACAAGAAGCCCAACCAAGGGAGCTCAGCTTGACTATCTCATGATGAGATTCCGTCAATGTTGCATGAGGCACCTTCGTCTACAATGCTAGACAGTGGTCCTACTTCGAATTCATCACCTTCGAGACCCAATAGATCCATTAACGAGCTCCTCGTGATTGAAATCTTTTCTGGATCTTGTAATCTTTCGACAGCTTTTGTGAAACGTGGCTTCCAAGCTTTAGCTATTGACCATGTTCCTTCTCACAAGTTTCGCACGTTGATTTTTGATCTTACTCTCCGAGCTGATCAATTACTTCTGTTGGACATCATCAGTACTCAAAGACCCTTTTTGGTTTGGCTCGCGCCCCCATGTGGCACTGCCTCTCGTGCACGCAACATTCCCGTACAGAACAAGTATGGCAAATCCTTTGCTGAACCATTACGTTCAGACATATTTCCAGATGGATTACCTTCACTTGAAAACATCGATTTGGATCGAGTTCTCGCTGCCAATACTTTGTACGAACTTTGCGAAAATGTTTGTCGTCTTTGTGATAGTCTGCAAATTCAATGGATTATTGAAAACCCTTTTGATAGCTTCTTCTGGTATACATCGTGGATTTCACAGCGCCATCAGGACTTTCCTAAAATTTTGTTTCACAACTGCATGTATGGTGGACTTCGACCCAAAAGAACTGGTCTTCTGGCTAACTTTGACATTTCATCTTTGGCGATCCTTTGTGACAATCTTCATGAACATGCCCCATGGCGCTCCTCTACTGAGAATGACATATACTTCCATACCAGCGAAGAAGCCGCGTACCCTCAATTATTTTGTGCAGCAGTTGCCAATGTGCTTGCAGACCTTGCTGTTTCTCGAGGTTTCTCCATGCCACCATTTGATTTATTTGATACTCAAGCCACGAATCCTCTCCACGCCAAACATCTTCTTCGAGGTTCCGTTGGTATACAACCTCGTGGGCTTCAATTTTCATTTCTCCCATCCTCTTTTCATGACGTTTGGATTACTCAAGACAAGTTGCCACCTATATGTTTGCCTTCGCAGAAGCTCCCCTCTCCCTTCACCAAGGGTTCTTCATTTCCTCCTGAGCTCCAGTTTGATGATGGGTCCAGTTC